GTACACGCCAAATGCTGGCAGTTTCCCATGTGTGAACAAGCTTGGCCAAGATTATCTACCAGGAGTAATTGCTCTGCATGTTCAGTCTACAAATTCTTCATTGGCAAAATATGAATTAATGTTGATTTTAGCAGATGAAGCAACAGATATTCAGGAATGACTACGTTATCCACATTTTATTTGTACCTGGGAGCTGAAAAGACCATGATTTGCCTGATTTTCAAACTGAGCCAGTTCAACTCATGTCTGTACATTTTTCAACTGTAGCACAAACTGTAGTGAGTGAGGGCTGTTATAAACTACAGTTTAGAATTTAACAAGATCTCAGCATTTCTGTCTGATAATGCAATGTAGATGTGCAAAGATTTCTCTGTTGTACTCCATGGAATGATGCCCAATGCAATTCATGTTAGCTGCAATGCACATATTCTTTCTTTAGTAAGAGATATCTGGCACACAGACTTTCCTGATGTGGGTAGACTGGTTTCCTCTTTTAAAAAAGCATTCAAACACTGTTCAGGCTGTAAGCTTCAATACAGGGAGTCCATCGCCAATCAAAATGGGGATCTAAATGCAAGTGTGTTACTTCCACCAAAACCAGTGCTTACAAGGTGGTATTTATGCTTGAATATTCTTTGCACAGTAACAAACTGTGTTAAGCGCTACCACCAATTTGTGCATGATGAGCTTGAAAGTCACACCCAGAATACAGTGTATGCTTAAATTACATGATTTCTTATAACTGGATGACACTGAAAATCAAGTTAAGTTGGCAGCTGAAAATGCGATCCAGTTCATGGAGCTTCTAATGTGGTTTGAAAAAGTTGGCAGGCTTTGATCCACCAAGCACACAAGCGGATGGATTTAATAAATTGGGTCAAATCAGTCCCAAGTCTGTAGCAGTGGATGGGATTCTTCCATCTTAACTGCAGGACTTTGCACTTATCCTTATTGAATCACATGAAATTTCTTTCAGCCCAATCCTCTATTTTGCCTAGGTCACTCTGAATCCTAGACCTACCCTCCAGCATACCTACTACTCTCCCCACCTTGGTGTCATCTGCAAACTTGCTGAGGGCACACTCTTTGCCATCTTCCAGGTCATTGGTAAAGCTATTGAACTAAACCAGCCTCAGGACTGAGCCGTGGGGCACTCCACTACCAGCTGCCAACTAGACATTGAGCCCACTGAGCCTAGACCAGGGGTGTCCAACCTTTTTGAATGTGGGGCCGGATCATGAACTTTTTAATCACCCAGTGGGCCGGCAGGAGCAGACGCTTGCGTGGCCTGTCCAGTCCGGCCACAGCCTGGGGGCGCAGGGGTCAAGGGGTGCCACCTGACCCTGCCGTGTCCTCCCTGCCACCTGGGTGGCCTTGAGGATGCTCCCACACCTGCGCACCTGAGCTCAGCAGCCAGGGGGACATGTGGGGACTCTACAGGGGGATGTGGGATGTGCAGGGACACCCCCCTGCTCCCTCTCCCCCAGGGCAGCCTGAGCCCGAGCCCAAGCAGCATGGGTCCCTCCCTCCCCGGGGCCTTCATTCTAAGTGAAAGGGACAAATATTTGACAAAAGCAAAGTTAACACTGATTTACTATCCTCCAAACAAAATGTGAAAAGGATTCTGAATTTCATTAAGTGAAAGAACAAGAAAGCTCCCCCTTTCTATGTCTATATTAACTAACTATGCACCTGTTCATGTAAAATTTGAAAATTTAAGAAAGATAAACACAGATTTTAGTCAGTGATTTACAAAAAAAGAACAAAAAATAAAGTAAAAAGTTAGCCTCCTGAAACTCATATATATTCTTCTAAAGCTGGGTGCTCAACCTGTGGCCTGCAGGCCAGATTTAGTTTGTGGTGGTGGGTCATCCGGCCTGCTGGGCTCCCCACTAGTCTGAAAATTTGGTGGTAAGGATGCTGCTAAATTTCCAAACACATAGGGAGAGCTGCAGTCTGGACGGAGTAGCTTGCTGGATCAGGCACAAAGGGCAGTGCACTGGGCTGAGCAGAGGCAGTGTGGGGACCCAAGGCCCATCATGCAGAGCCAGGCAGGGGTGGCATAGAAGCTCAGCACACAGGGCTACAGAGAGGTGGCACCCAGCCCCAGAGTTGCAGGGCCCAATCTGAACTGTGGACCAGCGCCATGCCAGTCATCTTGTCTGTGAGGCCAGAAGATTGAGCACCACTGTTTTAAAGCATTCTTTTGGATGGGTGTCTGAAAAATGCCAACACCTTAAGGTTAAGACAAAATGAGACATTTTCATATACCAACTGAAAAAAAAAAATCCTAAACTAGAACTGCTTTGTTAAATCGTTCTTACCTACTATTTATAGTATAAATATTTCTGGAAAATTAAATTGATTTGTTGAGCCAAACTAATTTAATATGAGGGCTAATGTGCTCTAATCCATTAAATGGAATCATAGGGAAGTAAAAAGAAAAAAAAAACCCAAAAAAACAACTCTTGTGTAGGTGCCTTTTAAGGGAAACAGTAGTCTTGAGACATTTTCCTGCCTTTCCACTTTCCAGAAGCTCCTCCACCTCAACTTTGCAGACAGAGACTCCACAGTTGTAGGGCTATTTCATACCTTTTTACCCATGGACTACAAATGAGGTAAAGCTTCCAATTAATTTATGAGCCCCTGCTCACTAGTCCTCTAACATGCATAGGTTATCTTACAGATTGAGCATCCACTATTTATACCACATGGCCACTCCGTAGCCTGAGGAAGCCTAAAGCCGACAGGAAAAGACAATTTTGCAAAGACTTACATGAGTGCTTTAATCTTTAGATTGAGAAAATTAAGAGAATTTTCTGATCTCTTCAGAGAAACAGTGTAAGTGAAGAATCAGACCAGTTAATTTAAATTAAACTTTGATATCTGAATAAACAAGATACTGATCACTTGTGAGAATAATTTCTCTAGAGTTTAAGGTTTCTCCATACCCTCAACACACAGTCTCACCATTCATTCCCTTTACCAAAAACTTCCCTCATCAGAAATTTAGTTTAAGACAGTACCAAAAAGCAGTAATATCTGCAATTTATAAGCTAGTATGTTTGAATAAAATCGGCATTAAAATCATATAAAAATGGAATCCCAAAATAATAGCTATTACAAATTTATCTTAAAATTCTTCACTTTCTAAGCATGCCTTACTGCAGAGGTAGGCAACGTTTTTTGGCCAGAGTGCCGAAAACCCCCACAGTGCCTACCTTGGAAGGTGCCGGAGTGCCGGCATGCCAGAAAAACAAAATGAGGGCAGGGGGTGCATGGCAGGATGCCCTGCTTGTGCCCCTTGCCCCCCACCCAAAGCCCTTGACCCTTGCCCCTGCCCCCCCAGCCCTGTTGCCCCTTGCCCACCAGCCAAAGCCCCTGCCCCCCAGCCCAGGTTCTGTGGCTGTCAGCAGCTACCCAGAACCTGGGCCAGCTGCAGATATCTGCTGCCTCTCAGCGCTGGCCCCAGCCCCGGACCTAGCCCCAGCTGTCTCCCACCCCAGACCTGGCCCCGGGCTCCAGGAGGCAGCGCATACCAGTAATGCTCCCCACTGTGTTGCCCTTGCCGCTTCTGCAAAGCAGCGCTGGAACCTGGCGCAGCAGGGCACACCAGGGGCACAGAAAGCTGCCTACTCCCAGCTCCCTTGCCACATTTCCCCTGTGTGCACAGGAGCAGCGTGGGCAGCAGCGCTGGGTTGTGCCCCTCACTGCTGCCCCCGCCTGCAGGGGAAGTGTGGCAGGAAAGCGGGGAGCTGGGAGCAGGCAGCTTTTTGCGCCCCCCCACCGCTGTGCCCTGCTGCACAGGCAGCAGATGTTTGCAGACGGCCCAGGTTCTGGGTAGCTGCTGATAGCCACAGAGCCTGGGCTGCTTTCAGCAGAGCTTCCATGGGAGCAGCCCAGGCTCCGTGGCTATCAGCAGCTACCCAGAGCCGGGGCCGGCTGCAGCCAGGAAGCTACAAACAGCTGCTGACCTCCTGCCCCAGCCCCAGCCCCAGCTGTCTCCTGGTCTCAGGCTCTGGGAAGGCAGCAGGTGCCAGCACTGCGCCTATTGGGGCTGGGGCTGGGGGTGGGGAGGCAGCAGCTGGTTGTAGT